TAAAGAAATGCCAATGAAAATGAGATATATTTTCACCCAATACCTGAGTAAAGATCAAACTTTCTCACCCACTGTTGACAGGGTGTTGGGCAAGCAGGATAAATAATCAACACACACACACACACACACACACACACACACACACACTGCTATTCTTATCTGTAGATGTTATTACCACCAACAAATGTGTCTACTGAACTGAGTGAGATTATTAGTTAGATATGGCACACAATTCAAACTTAATGCTGGGAGAAAATAATATTTTTGGTATTAATGTATTTTGAACAGTACCAATTGAATTTGTTACATGTATCCTTCCTCCTCTTTTCATAATTAGAGATTTTTTATCTGGGTATAGAATGACTCAGATTAAAGACTACATTTCCCAGTCTTCCTTACAGTTAGGTAAGGCCATTTGACTAACTTCTGGCCAATGGCATGTAAGCAAAAGTGTCATGCGCCAACAGGTTCATGTGCCTCTGTCCACCCTTTCTTACTCCTGCTGCTTGGAATATGGTTGTGATGGCTGAAGCTCCAACCAGGACCAGGAGGATGACAGTCACCTCTCGGCTGGCAGAGCGAGCTGTCAGCTGGAAGGAGTCCTGAGCATTTTGTTGAACCCCCTGTGTCCATTCTCAGACCCATTTTCTGTCTACCTCCCTGTTCTATTTGTGTCCATTTAACTCTTAATCATTTAGGACACTGTGTATTTTGCTTGTTTATTTTGTTGGTTGTCTTTCTCACTGCTCTATCCCTATGTCAGGGCTAAGTTCTTCAATTCCTACCTGCTGAATGAATACATAATAGATAGGCAGGTTTTTTGTTTGTTTTTTAATGCATTAACTAGAGGCCTGATGCATAAAATTCATGCAAAGGGCTGGGCACTCACAGCCTCGGCTTTGGTCTAATTAGCATATTATGGTTTTATTATTATAGATTGAGAGAGAGAGAGAGAGAGAGAGAGAGAGAGAGAAAGAGAGAGAGAGAGAGAAATGTCAATTCATTGTTCCACTTATTTATGGGTTCATTAGTTGTTTCTTTCTTTTCCCAATATATTTTTATTGAATTCAGAGTGGAATCGAGGGAGGGGAGGAGAGAGAGAGACATCAGTGTTGAGAGAGAATCATTAATCGGCTGCCTCCTCCATGCATCACCCTGGGGAAAGAGCCTGCAACCTGAGCATGTGGGAAGAGCCTGACCGGGAATGGAACCGTGACTTCCTGGTTCATAAGTCCATGCTCAACCACTGAGCCAAGCTGGCCGGGCCATTGATTGTTTCTTGTATGTGTCCTGACTGGGGATCGAACCCACAACCTTGGCATATCAGGGCCATTTTCTAACTAACTGAGCTACCAGGCAAGGACCTTGTGTGTTTTCAAGGAAAGCACTTTAAAAGGTAGAATTGTTCTACAATGAAGTACCTAGGAATGCTCTCAAGCTACTTTGCAAAATCCGTGAGAAGAAACCACATTTCCTTATTTCTTTTATTTGAACTGTAGACGGTCCCCAAATTGCTCAGTTTGAATCCCTTTGAAAAAGAAACTGCATACTTTTCTTGGCCTCAGGTACATTTCATCTAGCAATTGGAAAAAGGATAACCCCATCAGGCCAGTGATTTAAATCCAGGCAAAATAAACACTGCACTTGGCATGTCAGTAGCTCGTTTAAACAGACCCTTAACTCTGAGCTTACCTCCTACCTCAGCTCTGCTTCCTGAGTATGAATAAGGCCATTGACCACCTTTTAGAAAATTTTTATGAGTGGTGGAAAGTTGGAGACATTCTCCTGGTTAAATTTAGTTTTTTGTTTTTTTCAAAGTGCTGTACAATTAAAAAAAATTAAAAAAAAAAACCCCACCATATAAACTTGTTGAGTGACTTCACATACCGTGCACTGGGCTACGTGCTGCAGACTCTGCTCTGAAGGCAGCAGCTTTTCAAGTGGAGAAAACATTCGGTTCATCAACAAATGTATTCAAATAGGCTTTGATGGACTATGTTCCAGTTCTAGGCACTTGGGAGACACCAGAGAACAAAACACAAAAGACCCCATTCCCATGGGCCAATGTTCTCATATTTAGTGAATGATGGATTGTGCTGAGAAAGGTGTAGTGAGCTGGGGCACAGAATTAGCTTAAAACATGCACCCTGTCTCTAGGGAATTGTTAAATGACTACAGGAAGGAATGATAAGATAATGAACTGCATGGAAGAGGCCGAGAGGGTGGTGGGAAGGCAGAGAAAAGAAGCCAAAAGGGCTCAAGGAGGTGGGGGGCCTCGCTCAGGAAGGTGATTTGATGAAGGGCACCTGGGCTTATGGGTCACTCACACAGATACAGGACTGAGGGGATTTTTCAGTAAGGCAAGCTCAGAGGGAGAGGGTGTGGAGCATGGCTGATTGTGATGTGCTTGCAAGGCATCACTTCTGGCCTCACCAGGATGATGGATTTATCCATTCTTTCCTGACTCAAAGCTTTGTTGAGCAGCTATTATGTGCTAGATACTCTTCGCCAGGCCTAGCGGTGAGCAAAACGAAAAAAGTCTCTTCCTCATGGAGGTTACATTCTGGAGAGGAAGCTGCATAGTTAAACATGTGAATAAGCAATACAATTTTAGATAAAATACTAGTAAGGCAGGATAGGGCCATAAAAGGAAAGGGGATGGGAAAGCTATCATTAAAAAAAAGGGTGACCAGCCGAAACCGGTTTGGCTCAGTGGATAGAGCGTCGGCTTGGGGACTGAAGGGTCCCGGGTTCGATTCCGGTCAAGGGCATGTACCTTGGTTGCGGGCATATCCCCAGTAGTGGGTGTGCAAGAGGCAGCTGGTTGATGACTCTCCCTCATCGATGTTTCTAACTCTCTATCTCTCTCCTTTCCTCTCTGTACAAAATCAATAAAATATTTATTTATTTAAAAAATAAATAAAATAAATTAAAAAAAGGGTGACCAGTGTGTATGTGTGTGTTAGGGGAGCAGATAATGGTGGGCAGAGTTCCAGCTTGTGGATTAGGACATAGCATGGCAGGTCTCTGCACAAAGTGGTAGTTACGGAAGGTAAGTCTAATAGTAATCTTCCACGCGTGAGATGAGCAACGGGTGAGATGCCCTCACACCTCTGCCCCATCTGAGTTTCAGAGCACTTACTGAGGAGGCCCCGGGACCCATTCCCTCTCACAGAAAACACACAGTGGCCTCCGTGCACACTGTCACCGGGGAGAGGAGGACACCTTCGTGTTCTTATCTTTTTGAAGAAAAGATTTTAATCAAGACACCAGGTGTAGAAAAGCAAACAAGAATGTACTGACTGCAGCCAATACATACTTAGGGCCAAACAAGGAAGGACATAGAAGAAGCAACAGGAGAGTCTCGGCTGGGCTGCTTTGGCTCACTGGGAAATCAGAGACTTCCTGCACACCCCCTACTGGGGACTGAGCCCACAACCTGGGCATGTGCCCTGACCAGGAATTGAACCAGCAACCTCTTGGTTCCTGGGTTGATACTCAACCTCTGAGCTACACAGGCCAGGCACAAACCGTTTACTCTTAAGTGCCCTTGGTTTAGGGAAGATAGGATTTACTAGGTGTCTGCAAACTGTCTTAGTTTGCCTAGTCACTTTGTCCTGGAATTTTCCTCGCTTCTCACTTTTCTGTAACAACACTGTCTACCGGTGTTCAAACTAGAGCTCCGAGTTCTGCATCAGCATTCTCTAAAAGAAATACCAAATCCCACACGCTGAATATTTTAGAAGCATTTCAAGGTTTACTCTATTAAAAAAAGGAAGGAGGAAAGATTTTGCTAATTGTCATTGTAACCGCCAAAGTCAAGTTTTTCACTCTCAAGTTTTAAATGGCGATGGCTGTCCATTTTTCAGATATAACCTAAAATAAAATGGTTTCTTGTAAAAGAGATAAAAACAAACAACAACTACAAAAACGGCACTAGAAACCCCTCCTTTACAGTCTCCCCTCTTCCCCAGCTTTCTAACCATTAACAGCCAGAATCTTAGTGTTATAGGCGACAGAACGGCACAGGTGGGGTCAGACCAAACCTGGGCTCAGCAACCTTGGTGCTTGGGGGTCCTGGCTAGGAAAGAATTCAGAGCCAAGACCTCAACTGTAAGAAAATATTTATTTGGAGTTACTTTTTACAAGCTATAGTGGTAAAGGAAGGGCCCTTGGAGCTTGGGATTGAGGACACTAGTGGCAAGAAGCTTGCGGTGGAGATATGAGTGGAGGTCCCAGGAGATCTTAATAGAATCTTCAGCAGTTTTCCAGGTGTGGCCTCTCAGGGCTGTGGTCTCCACTGACTGATTGGACCCAGTGGGGCAGGGCCTCGTTATTCAATGCAGCTGGTCCTGAGGGGGACCTGGGTTTTGCTGCTTCTCTGGGGGAGCTGAAACACCACTGAGGTAGAGATGTTATCTCTAAGAGGAAAGGTCCGGGGTCCACACCTCTGGAGCTTTCCACCCTGGTGTTCCTCCATAGCTGGTGTCTAACTGCCTACACTATCAGAATGGGTTTTCCAAGATGCTCATTGAATGTAAACTTTTATAAATCACCCTGACTAGTGGCTACGTTTGCACACACACACAGATTAGGAAATCGACGCGGAAAGCCCTGGGTGGACTGGGCGGCAAGGGGCCCCCTTCACGAGCCCGTGACCTCAGGGCTCAGAGGTCACCGGTGCTGGGAAGCCAGGTGGGAAAGGGGCAGCGGGAAGGGAAAGGGCGGTGCCAGGCGGCCCGGAGGGAAGTGGGGTGTAGGGATGGGCTTGGGGGGAATGGAGGGCGGTGGGTGGGAGGCCTGAGCTGTCCGGGGAGGGGGGGGGGGGGGGGCGGGCAGGGCCTGGGGCGCGGTGGGGCAGGGTGCCCAGACTGAAGTGGGGGTGTGGCCTGGGGAGGGGGCAGGGGGTGCAGTAGCGGGAAGCGGGAGGCGGGCCGGGAGGCAGGGCCAGGGGAGAGGCGGGGCAGGGCGCGGGGCGGGGCTCCGGCCGAGTCCTCTGGGGTGGCCCCCGCGCCGACACGCGCGCTTCTGCTTCCGGACGTCGGGGCCAGAAAGTCTCCGGGGCCCCCCGCACGTTTGGGGTTCCCCGGAGTTCCAGGTCCCCGCGAGTTCCGGGTTCGAGCCATCTCGGTGCGCGCCGTCCCGGGCCGGCGTCCAGCTGCTCTCGCTGCGCCCGGGCGCACGGGCCGGACGGCGCGGGGTCCGGGGGGCGCGGGGGGCTCCCTGCGCGGCCATGAGGAAGCCCGACGGCAAGATCGTGCTTCTGGGGGACATGAACGTGGGGAAGACGTCGCTGCTGCAGCGGTACATGGAGCGGCGCTTCGCGGACACGGTCAGCACGGTGGGCGGCGCCTTCTACCTGAAGCAGTGGCGCTCCTACCACATCTCCATCTGGGACACCGCAGGTGGGTGTCCGGGAGGCGTCCCCGGGGCCGGGTCCTCCAGGGCAGGGGTCCTCCAGGGCGGGAGTCCTCCGGGCAGGTTCCCCCCGGGGCCGGTTCCCCAGGGCAGGCCTCCCCGGTTACCTTACAGAGTCCCCTCGTCCCAGGGCAGGTGGCCCCATTTCAGGGATCAGGCCCCCAGTCCCAGTGCACGTTCCCACTCGTTGTCTTTTGCTGGTTGGGAAACTCTTCGTTGTTCAGCCACGTGGTGTATGTATTTAGCGTCGGTGCAGTCGAGCTTAAAAAGTACCCCTGGCTGTAATTTTTGACAGTCTGTTTGTTGCTTTACTGTCTCTGTATCTATCTTTTTGTTCATCAGTTTATAATGTTCTTTATTGTCAAATTACAGCGGGGAGGGAAGGGAGATCTGGGGGAGATAAGAGATCAACGGAAGGACTTGTATGCATGCATATAAGCAAAACCAAGGGACGAAAAACTCTGGGGAGGGAGGGCATGTATGGGAGTGGGGGGGCAATAGTAACATATGTACACATATAATACCTGAATAATAATAATCAAAAAAGAATAAAGGTAACCACAAAGAAAAAAAAAAAAGTACCCCTGGCTCCAGCGAGGAGCGGTGCCACTTGAGTGCCCTGTGGCAGTGTCTGGCTGCAGAGTGTCCTGGGCCTGCACGGAGCCTGCAGGTGCTGACCTGACTCATAAAGTGCTGTCACACAGGGTGCTCATTTCATATCCACAACAGACTTGGGGGGTGAGCAAGGCTAGTATAGTTACCACACCCCCCCCCCCTTTTTTTTTTTTTTTTGCAAAAGAGGAAACTGAGGCACGGAGCCTTCAAAGTTCAGCCAGAAAAAGCAGGACACAGAACTCAAGGGTCTCCTCTCTTAGTTCCAAGCATATCTGCATCTTCCAGTTTCTTTATCATCTGCTTGATCTCGGCTCTTACGTATTATGGAACGTGGAACGGTTTTCTGCAGCAGCATTTGTAGGATAGGTAATGAATTATTTTTGGTGTGTGTAGTGTTTGTGATTTCCCAAAAGTACAACTTAGGAGTTCTCAATTCAAGGGTTCGGTTTACAGTGGCAATGTGGTGTTGCAATAGAATATATTCCCTGAAAAAGAATAAGTAAATAAGAAACTAAATAGTAAGGCATGCTTTTGGTGGACATTCTTTTTAGAAGCCTGAAACTTGAAGGTCTGACTTTTTCAATGGCAGCACATCTTAAACTTGACATAAATACCCAAAGGTCCTGTCTAGACTTTAAAAACTGCCAGCTTGGGAGGGCCCTTCTGCCAAATAAACACAATTTTAACTAATTCTCTCTTTAAAACGGAATTAATGATGCCCACTGAGGTACATTTACTTCTTTTCCTTCCTTCCTCCTTTTTTTTATTGTTGTCTTTTTGTTATCAACGGCAGTTAATGTCTTGACTAATTTATTACAATCGCGCTGTAAAAATAGCATCTTCCCTGCTCTTTGCTCCAGCTCCAAGCCACAGAGTGAGGTTTCTCTAAGATCCTTTATGCTTAAGCTGACTCTCGCACTAAGCACTTGGTAGCCATGGATCGGAGGCTCTAGAATTGGACAAGGCCGGCCCTTTTGTTCCTTTTGTTGGCTGGCTGGACCTCTCTGCTGTCCTTGGTTTACAAGAGGATTATGCAGAGATGGCATTGGGGTCCCAAACGGAGACCCCTGCAGTGGCCACCCTGAGAACCTGCTTTTCACCCCCAGGTTCTGGTGTTTCGGGAACAAGAACTGACCTGAGAGGTGTCGCATCCCGCACCTCCGTCCTCTATGGTGACTCATTTTGGCTGGCCACTATCTTCTTTACTGATAAGGACTCGATGCAGCCAGAATCTTGATCCAGAGGATTAGTAATACAGCTAATGAGGTGTCCCGGATATTTTGTTGGGCTCCTTGGGGAGCCATTCATTTCCTGTCTGGCCTAAGGTGCCGCCTCCTTGTTCCTGGAATCCCCAGTGTGAGCTCAGTCGGGCTCTGGGGCGTGGGCGGCCAGGCCCCTTCTCCCCATTGTCAGCCTCCTGTGTACACATGCTTAGGCTCAGAGTCAGCAGTCACACAAGCTACTTCTGTGCCTGGCTCCCCAGGACTGTGGGGTTACGGGCCACTGGAGGGGAAGAAGGGCTGTGCACATAGATAGATACCTTTGCAGTCATCCGGTTGGGAATTCAGAAGTTTAACTTTCAAGGGATCCTTCTTTTCTCTTGCACTTACCGTATTTTTCGGACCATAAGACACACTTTTTTCCCCCCAGAAGTGGGGGGAAAAAGTCCCTGCGTCTTATGGTCCAAATATAGCCTACACATATACTTTAAAAAAAAAGTTTTTTTACTTGCCCGGCTCTGTGTGGTCTCTGTGTGCTTGCCCGGCTCTAAAATGGTTCTAAATGCTGCTGTTTACTTTACAGGGTTGATTACATGTGTTTATGACTGTGATGTTGGGTTTTCATGCACATAAAATATTTTAGGACACTATTTGTTTCAGAATCTTTTTTTCTTCATTTCCCTTCTCTAAAAACTGGTGCGTCTTATGGTCCAGAGCGTCTTATGGTCCGAAAAATACGGTATATTTTCTTCCCACTCCATATCATTTTTAAAAGCTGTGTTCATTTAAATTTCCAAAACCGAAGCAGAAAGATGAGAACCAGCTAGAGCAGCAGTGACCAACGGAACACTGGTGGTCAGTGAGGTCTGAAAGATTGGCGACTATCGAGCTAGAGGATGGATAGTTTTTTAATGCTGCTCTTGGTTGCATGGGGTGGGTGGGATGGGAGTGTGTAGTTTTGGAGGGAATTAGGTGTTTTTTTTTGTTTTTTGTTTTTTTTTTAATAGTAAAGTGATAGTAAGGAGCGAGAGTTTCTGTTTTACACTTGGCATGGATATCACTCATATGTGGAATCTAATGAACAACATGAACTAATGAACAAAAGTAGACCCAGAGACATGGAGACATTAATCAGACTGTCAAGCCTCAGAGGGAATGCAGGGGAAGGTGGAGAGATCAATGAACTCATGTGCATATGTGCATAACTCACGGACACCGATAGTAAAATGGTGAGGGCTTATGGGGGAAGGGGAGTTGGAGAAGACAATGGGGGAAAAGGGGACATGTGTAATACTTTCAACAATAAAGATTTATTTAAACAACAATAACAACAACAACAACAATGTACCTGGCAGTCTGAAGCACACAGGTCAGGGAGATTTGTCCAGGTGCAGGGACTTCCTTCCATTATGCCTTCGTGGCTCTGCTCTTACCTACTTGGGCAGCCGGACGTGGTCACCAGATACGGTTTGCTAAATCCCAGAAGCAAAAGGAGGTTGCCCGGAGATGAGACAGAGCCCCAGCAGAACGTACTACTCCCTGGGCAGCCTAAAGAGATGTTGCCCACTGTTCAGCAAACTGAGCCCCTTCTGTGTATGTGGGCACTCTTTCAGGCTCTGCTCTACAGCAGCGATTTTCAACCTTTTTCATCTCATGGCACACATAAATTAATTACTAAAATTCTGGGGCACACCTAAAAATATATTTTTTGCCCGTCTGTAAAAAAAAAAGGTATAATTTTGATTCATTCACACCGATGGCTATTGTGTTGGCTGTTGTCATATTTTAAAATTTGACCAATCTAAGGGAAAAGGAGTCAGTGCCCCAGACTAAATAGTTAGGTATTGCATATTTTGAAAATTCTTGTAGTACACTGGTTGAAAATCTCTGTTCTGCAGCAATGACAAGCTGGCCAGGGCCTCGGTTCCATGGGCTTTAATCTCCAGAGGAGAGGCCAACAGAGGAAATAGGTGGCATCACTTCACACCTGATCATTGTTTTGAAGAAAACACAGCTGGGCTATGCGAATGTGACGATGTGCCTTAATAGATCCCATCACCAGACCTGGAAGGATTGACACCCTCCTTATTTGTCCCTCATTTTTCAAGGCTGTGGCCCCTGGAGGGTGGGAGACATGTCTCATTCTATATAATAAAAGGCTAATATGCAAATTGACTGAGCAGCAGAATGACGGGTTTCTATGATTTGCACTGACCACCAGGGGGAAGATGTTCAACACAGAAGCTGCCCCCTGGTGGTCAGTGCGCTCCCCAAGGGGAGCACCACTCAGCTAGAAGCCAGGCTCTTGACTGGCAAGTACAGTGGCCGTGGTGGGAGTCTCTCCTGCCTCTGTGGCAGCACTAAGGATGTCCCACTGATGGGTCCTGGAGTGTGAGAGGATGCAGGCCAGGCTGAGGATCCCCCGCCCCACTTCAGTGCACAAATTTCGTGCACTGAGCCTCTAGTGTTTACAACATATCTCCCTTCCTTCATTTTCCAGTAAAATATTCCTCTTTTCCCTTCTCCGTGCTTTCACCTGTAGTCATGCCAATCGAGCTAGTCTCTAAGATGAACTCCATGCTCCCTACTTTGTTTTGTTAAACATATTTTTATCGATTTCAGAGAGGGAGAGGGAAAGAGAGATGGAAACATCAATGATGAGAGAGAACCATTGATTGGCTGCCTCCTGCACACTGGGGATCCAGCCTGCAACTCAAGCACAGGCCCTGACCAGGAATTGAACCTTGCCCTCCTGGTTCATAGGTCGATGCTCAACCACTGAGCCACAGCAGCTGGGCTGCTCCCTACTTCCTTGTTAGCCCTTACTGGAATAGTACATTAGGGGTTTCTGTGAACATCTCAAAGAAGTTATAGTGTTCTTGCACCTCCGTGCTGCTCACATGGCTGTGTGATCCTCTGTGGTCTAGGGGGTGTTCTGTGGATTCCAGTACAGGTTGAGCAGTGCTACAGTCTGGCTGAAAACCGGTTTATTTTGAAGCCTGAGCACCGGTTCTTGTGCCGGGTGGCCCTGATCTTAAAAAACCCCACAAACAGTTAACCTTATCCTTCTCAGTCTCAAACATTGAAGCTAAATATTCAGCCATTTGTACTCGAACCCTCCCTATCCCACTTTTAAAAGACTTGTGATTACA